TGGATTTTTTATGAAAAAGCCATTAACTATATTTTAAGGTAAATATTATACAATTCCTTTACATCTTTAACACTGAGATACAGAAACTAATCGGCCAAGAAAAACTTAATTAAAAATATAATATTCGACATTAGTCTTCACCAAAATGCGTGCTTATTTTCAATTATGAAATTAAGAAAAAACACTATCCTCAGTTTTTCAAAATTTACCAAACATCAGGGAATTGTCCGATTTAAATTAAACTTCCATTGCTTATTCATTAATGAATTATATTTATGTTACACATTACTTTACAAAACTTTGGGAAAATATTTTTGAGAATCAGTTTCACCTCCATCCATTTCGATACATGCGTGTACATTTAAATTTGCTGGGCGTTTTATATAACTATATAAAAAAAATATTATATAAAGAAAAATCCTTGAAGATCGTATTTCAGTATAGAAAATATTACGTATTATCAACTGTGAACATACTGAAAATTCTTCCTGAACCTTACCAAAAATAATTCAATAAAACTCAACAAAAATTGTTTTGTTGGTGCTTGCATAAATTAATAAAACATTATTTTCTTTCAGATTTGATAGGAAATAAAACTACATTAAGCATCTATTTTTTTATACAATCTACTCGTAATTTTTCAGTGCGATTTTGAAATCTATTCAGTTGCTGCTGCACGTGGCAAGAGATTCCTTTATTAAATGTTTGAAAAATCGAAAAATGTAAAGGTTAATGCTATTTTTAAGTGTAAATATTTTTTGAAAGATTTTTCTTTCATTTTTGCAACTGTCAGATTATATTTCATACGGAAGTTGAAAAAGGACATAATTCAATAATTCTTTGACTGCAATCAGTTAAGAGTATCAATTCAATAAGTCTTTATCAGTTTTTTCCATTTTTTTGTAGAACTTTATTTAGTTTAATATATTTTCAAATCAGAATAATTAAAATACACTTCATTGTGAGCAATTAAATATTTTCAAACAACTAAGAAAATAATCATAAAATAAAAGCAATGAATTTAATTAAAAAATATCATTAAACTAGTTTTTAGTTAATTTCTTTTTTGTATAAAATTATTCATTATACTAAGTTTCATAAAAATCTATACGATAAAAAAATCTAGTATGGATAAATAAATATTGTTTTTCCTATATCTTAAGAAAAAAGGTAAACATTACTTTTACAAAATCCAACTAATTAATCTTTAAATTTACTGATTTGCTTTTAAATAAATCTCCCGGACGAAGATTGGATTTTTAGAAATTTTTAAATTAAATTTGTTGTTTTCATTTTTTCATCAATAGTGGTGATTCGATGAGTCGATGAGTCGATGTTTTAACAAAATGTCTAAAATCTTTATTAAAATACGTCAGTTTATTTTTCATTTTTACGGATTAGCTTTTAAATTATTATTTTTCAAATAAACCCAAAATTTAACTTCAAAGGAGACATTTAAATTATTTTAATACGTTTTTAATTTATTTTGTAAATTCAGGTAATACCTTGAAAACATAATCTGCCTGCTACCTTTAACAAAAATATATCATTATTAAATTTTAAATTAAAAAAGATAGCTAGCTAACTATAAATACAGATAGGTAAGTCGACAAGCAAACAGACGATTTTCTTATATGATTCATAATATTTTTTGTTTGTATGTAAATATTAGCAAACCTATAGGTATAAAAATTTTGTAATAATCGGAAAACAAGTATATATTTCTCAAACAATATAAAAAAAAATGATTACCTTTTAATTGGAACAATGTGTTTCAACCGCATTATTTTCAAAATTCTCTATATTTACATTATTTCATTTTGTTTATTTAGGTATAATTACATGTTTTATTGATTTCATAGGTCGGTTTGCAGATCGTGTGTTTTTTAACGTTTTTTTTTTTCTATTTTAATTGTAAACATATACACGAACGATAAACACAGGGATTATCTAAATTCGATAATCGATCAACTAGACAAGACATCGGCAAATTATAAGACATTTGGGTGACTAACACACAAAAAAGAGAATGTCTCATATCGAGAATATTTAACATCGAAAAACATTAAAAAATGCGGAAATCTCCATCGTTTGTCTGATGACGGTCGTGAGACCGGAAACACGTGTAGCAAAATTATGGAAAATAAAGCATATTTTTTTTTAAAAATCCACATTACAACCAAAAACATTTGCGGTTTCTCTTTTCTTTTAATATACACATTTTTCTATAATCTCTTCCTTATATATATATATATATATATATATATATATATATATATATATATATATATATATATATATATATATATATATATGCATATCTTCTATAGTTATATGGATAAAAAATTATCATTCCAGGTCACAATGCCAAATTAAAAATGTACCCAAAAACTTCATTTCTCTAAGCCAAAAGTTTTAAAATTGAGATACATTTTTTATTGAAAATAAACTTTTTTTTCAACGAAATCTATTTCAAAAATTTATTTTTTTACGGAAATGAATTTTTTTCTAGAATTTGCTTCTGAAAATTAAATTAGGGAAAACTATTATACATAGATAAATTTTATTTATTTATTCGATCTATTTGATATATATATATATGTATGTGTGTGTGTGTGTGTGTGTGAATGTTGGGGATGAAATACATGAAAATCAGTTGGATGTTAATATTTTTTGTTTCGTTCATTTATCAACATATAAACGAAAACTTCTAACAAAACAATCGTCACCATAGCAACCTTGTTCCCAAAAACCTTGTGGCCAATTTGGAAAAAAATATTAACAGTTAATAACCCTTAAAAATATATCTGTGAACAAATCAATGAGATCTTTACATAATATAAGAAATTGACTAAAATTAAATGAAAATATTATTTGACATATAAAGAAATAATTAAATAAAAAATATTAAATATATAAATTTCCAACATTCAATTGGTTTGCACATATTCCACATTACATATTTTGTTATGATATTTCGCATTAATCATTTATCACATTATACACACACACACACACATATATATCACATTATATATATGTATAAATCACATGTATAAATCACATTACATATATACATATTTAACACATTATATATATATCAAGTTATATATATAGATATATATCACATTATATATATATATATATATCTCGTTATATAGACATCACATTATACATATATAAAAACTATATATATATATATATATTTAAGACATTTTTAATGTTTATACGTTCTTTTTATAGATGCAAATATTTAAGTAAATGCTCTGTTTATAATAAACAGTATTAACAACATTTACCGGCCTGAATGTCCGAGAAATTTTCATAGAAAATCAAAATTCAAAAATCAATAAATTCGACGTTGCTAATCGAACGGTCCTCTGTGGCACAAACGGTTAAAGACACGTCAGGCTATATGACGGTTCCGTATAGGATACAGGTTCGATTCCTGTCGGAAGACGCATATTTTCTATGAAAATTTATCGAACATTAAGGCCGGTAAATATTGTTAATACTGTTTATTATAAACAGAGATTTACTTAAATATTTGAATCTAAAAAAAGAACGTATAAACACATATACATACATCACATTATATAAATGCATATATATCACATTATATCTATATAAATAGATATAATATATATATATTACATTATATATATATATATTATATATAAACAATATTACATGTAACATTATATATAATAAAATAATGGATATATAATTGTAATACATGGATTTTTTATGAAAAAGCAATTAACTATATTTTAAGGTAATTGACTGTAATATGTAGACATTATATAATAATATAATGTCTACATATTACAGTCAATTTATTACACTGATTTAATAGATCATTGTTTTTAGGAAACTTAATATGTAGCTTTTCATGTAGACACGGGGGGGTGCATGGGTCATTTGAGTACTTACAAATTCTCGTTTTTTATATACCCATATATCACATTATATAGTTACTTTCAAAGAAAAGCGACACTTAAGTTTTAAAATGATTTTTTTTTTAAATTAAAAATCTTTCTTGAAGCTTGTATTTTAGTTTTAATTTCAAGTTAATAGATTAAATTTAATATTTACAATAATTGCAAAACTAATTTAAAATTGATGGGGACGAGTTTTTCTAAAACCGCTAAAAATGGCTGATTTTAGCTATATTTTACAACTTGCTCAGCACAACGTAATTCTCTTTATTAAAAACATCTTTCAAAAAATACAATATAGTTTTCTGAAACTTTATTTGAGAAAGAATAACTTATTTCACTTTTAATTATTGCCTTGAAAATATATCAGTTACTTTTAGCTTTAAATAACACAGAAAAGCATTTTTAACACGGAGTGGTGTGTTTTATGAGGTGGTAATTTTTTAAATTTTTTCTTCGGGGGACATATCCGTAAAAATTACTTGAAAAATATAACCTTTTTTTTATATAATTTCTTAACTACACAGTAATATTACGAATTAATGAAAATATTCTAATCTAATGTTTTATTGCATTTTAGATACTTTAAATTTACTATACGACTTATTTTCTGATAATGTCGTGTATGGACGTCCGCATTTAAAAATATCGGTACACAAAATGTGCTTTTAAAAATATTGGAGTTTCCTGAATTACCGCGAACATTACAATTTATGATTAGTAAGTAGTTTTAATTTACCACTTGACCGCTACAAATTAATACAGAATCTTAAAAGATTTAAAATTTTATAGATTATTCTAATTACAATTTTTAAAAAGAAATGTAAACAATTCTTGTAAAACTTTATTATTCAGCGAATTTTTTTCTGAAGTTAATTGAGTCTATAATACATTTTATTTATAAATGTAATTAAATTTTTTTCTAATTAAATAATCTTAGTTTTATTGCATTTTTTATTTTACGATTCAGTGCAGATTTTGTTTACAACTAGCGTTCTTGTTTAATAAAAAATAAACGATGGTTTAAATTCTCTAAGGATTGTCATTATAACTAATACAGACTCTGAAAAAGCAAGATAGATAGATAGATAGATAGATAGATAGATAGATAGATTGTCATTATAACTAATATAAACGTTAAGCGATAATGAGTCGCGGGTAACGGATTTTTAAAAAATATATATTTTACCAAGATTTTCTAGAAAAGACACATTTCAAAAGTAATTTAATTCTTTTCTAAATGTCCTGAATGTTTCATTAAAATCCAGCAATTATCTATTTTTTGCTAGAATTTCCAAAACAATGAGTTTTTGACAACAAAATAATTTCCCATACAAATTTATGCTTCTAATACACCCAATATCGTACGTAATTTACTTTTATTTAAAAAAAACAGCATTTATTATGCTTCATAATTTCATTAACAGTTTTATCGCTTGTATTTCTGCCAAAACAGTCTCTGAAAAAGCAAGATAGATAGATATGAAGAGATTGAGATAGATAGATAGATAGATAGATAGATAGATAGATAGATAGATAGATAGATAATGAAGAGATTGAGATAGATAGATAGATAGATAGATAGATAGATAGATAGATAGATAGATAGATAATGAAGAGATAGATAGATAGATAGATAGATAGATAGATAGATAGATAGATAGATAGATAGATAATGAAGAGATTGAGATAGATAGATAGATAGATAGATAGTAAACAAGCAGTGTATACATCGTACGTCGATCTTTTCTTAAACTGATAAAAATGACACTAAAATACGCATATTTACGGAGACCATTTTCAACTGGAAGATTAAAAATTTCACTCCAAAAGGCATCATGAAGAAAATCACAAAATGGACTCTAGCAAGAAAAATTGTCGAAAAAAAAAACAGAGTGAAACAATTTTCCTTACAGCAGACCTAGCAATTGATTCAATATAATCACTCTACTTCGTGTCGGTTGATTAGAGTCACTTGTACTAGAGGTAAAAGAGGAATGGGACGATAATACGAGGGATCAGAATGTTCGTCACATTTCATAAAGACAGGAGTTATAGAAAAAGATTTTCAACAAGCTGAAAATGCAGGCAGCAGCAAGGGACGTTGTAGAGTCTGGAGAGAACAGGGGCCAGTACAAGAGAATATTCTCTTAGGATAATTGTAGATATACCGCCATCATCTCTTGTGAGGATCTAGTTTGGAAGAGAATAAACAATGAACGGAATTATGCGCATATCACTCAGTAGAGATTCGATACAAGATGGAAAATCAGCCAAAGTTACTTCTGATGAGTCCAGAGTGAAGTCGGAAGAGAATTTCCGAGCAAAGGATTCTGTTTTATTAGCTGTAAATGACAATACTTCAAACTGATTGGAGGGAGGAGAGATTAAGGATTTACTCTTGTTCAATACACTCCTACAGAGTCGTCAGTAATCTCGAGAAGCAAACTTGAGAGAGGCTATACAAATTTGCATTCTGAACAACGATTTAGCGTCGTTCAGAACACATATTGCGAACGAATACAAAGAGGCGTCTTTCATGATCAGAGCTGTTACATTGGTATAGCCGGAAGAAGTGATTCCTGAAAGCTATAGAGGCTGAACAGGCGGGAATGAACCAATGACAAGATTTCAGGTTTCAGTCAGTATTCCGTGCTGGCACGAAAGCTTCGATACTGGCTTTTCACCCAGGAAGAAAATTCGGTGACTCAATTTTCAGCGGGCATATTAAAATTTTCATTGCAAGGATCGTCGCGAAGAAAATGGGGGAAATAACGAATCAGTGCATTATTATATATATATATATATATATATATATATATATATATATATATATATATATATATATATATAGGGTAATACTTTTAAAATATATAAATACCAGATTCTGATCCAGATCCAAAGAAGAACATATGCTGTATTCGGAGACAGAAGAGTCCATCTATGCGTAAACTAACCAGGCATTTTTTATACACACTCTGATAGTGTATATATATATATATATATATATATATATAAAAAACGGGGCATTCATGTCAACACACAGCGGTGAAAATTGTAAAAACAAACGTAGGAAAATTATTCATTAAACTCATGCACAAAAACACCCTCCCTCATCTTCAAGCACTTTCCACAAGATATTGAAAAAAAACAGTCAACATCGGCGACAGTTGCACAGAAAACATGACACAAATAATAATAATAATAATACAATAAAACAACCGATAAACTGCCCGCACAAATCAAACTCACGTGTAACTGCAGAGCAAAGAACGAATGTTCCTTAAATGGAAATTGCTTACAGAACAATGTAATATAACAAGCCACTGCAAAATCAGCAAATAACGAAATACATATATACATAGGAATAACTGAAGGACCTTGGAAACAAAGAAACCACGCACACAAGACATCCTTTAAAAATGGTAAATACGCGAACAGCACAGTGCTTTCTAAACATGTATGGGTAATTAAAAAGAAAACCAAATCACACCAAAAATATCTTGGAAAATAACACCAACCTATAAATTCCCAAACTGTAAACTTTGTCTAGAGGAGGAAATAGCTATAATTACCTTCCCGGACCAAATTAAATGACCAAAACTCATCTCAAAATGCAGACACGAAAGCAAATTTTAACTACGTTAATTAAAATCGAAAACTAAAAACGAAGAAGTAAATAAAAATAAAAATAAATAAACTATAAATAAGTATAATAAATTAATCCAAATAAATAAATAAATAAATAAGTAAATAAATTAAATAAATAATAAACAAATGAACACATTACGAATGCACGGATAAACATAAGTAAACGTAATAATAACAATAAACAGCAAATAACGAAGCAATCAATAATAAAGTTAAACAACACTATAAAATAGCCACAAAACTGCATTCGGACCCACAATTATTTCCCCTCAATAATCCCCAGAATAATTCGAAATATAACCCTTGCCGCCCACACAATAACCGTTAGAATAATTCAATAGACCTATCCATAATGCATCACTGGACAGCATGTATAAATAGTCTAGCCAAAACAGAACGCACATGGTCAGACGATTGCGTTTAAGCATGAAACAAACTGTCGCCGCTGGGTGTTGATTTCGATGTTCACTTTTATATTTACATACGCTATATCCTTGATATCGATAACTACACACACACATATGTGGTAGATAGAGTTTGGTAAGTCTTCATGTGTATTTAAATGAGACTTAATTTAGCTCTGTTCAGGGAGATGTAACTGATCGGTGTGGCTAGACATTTGCTGGTAGTGGACTGTTATATTACATCGAGCACTATTTTATTAACACCAGCACTCAATGTGCGATATCTTATATATATATATATATATATATATATATATATATGGGAAAACGTGGTATAACTATATATATCAGGAATAATTTTGGAGAGTGGGAAGATTTTTCGCGTGTCGCATTTTTTTTCTTTAGGACTTCATTGGAGTAAATTGAAGTTTACATTTTAAGTTTTAATTTATTTTTTTATTATTTAAAAACATTTTAATTCAGTTTTTGTTTTTTAATTTAGAAATTCAGCTAATAACTATGTCAGACTATGGACTTATCCACAATATGTTAACGGTTATTGATCAAAGAGTTTGTCAAGTTTTAGACAAGAATAATGAAAAACGGATTGTTGCCTTAGATATCGGGCTTAAAGATATCGGCTTGTTGCCTTAGATATCGGACTTAGATATCGACTTGTTGCCTTAGATATCGGACTTAGATATCGACTTGTTGCCTTAGATATCGGACTTAGATATCGACTTGTTGCCTTAGATATCGGACTTAGATATCGACTTGTTGCCTTAGATATCGGACTTAGATATCGACTTGTTGCCTTAGATATCGGGCTTAAAGATATCGACTTGTTGCTTTAGATATCGGACTTAGATATCGATTGTTGCCTTAGATATCGGACTTAGATATCGACTTGTTGCCTTAGATATCGGACTTAGATATCGACTTGTTGCCTTAGATATCGGACTTAAAGATACCGGCTTGTTGCCTTAGATATCGAGATTAAAGATATCGGCCTGTTGCCTGAGATATCGGACTTAAAGAAAAATAATAAAAAGTTATCTTGAACGGCCACACAAGGTCTTTTTACATTAATTAGTGCTGCAAAGAGGCTCTATCCTTGGACCTACTTTGTTACTAATTTTCATTAACGACCTTCCCGATTTCTTCGTTTCTCGTCTTGGTATCTGTACTGATGCCACAACTATTTACTCCGGTCTTAATGGTAAGGTTGGATGTCAACTGGTCTCGAAAATGACCTTCAATCTGTTGTTAAGTAGGGCAAGAAATGGCTTGTTAATTTAATGCCTTTAAAATGAAACTGCTCTCTTTTCATCGTCTTAGAGAACCTTTTCTGGCTTCCATCAGCATATGGCTGGTGTTAACCTCCAGGAGACTAACTCATTGTACTATCTCTGTCTAACGTTTTCCACTGACAGGAAGTAGAACGATTATATTGAATAAATTGCTAGGTCTGCTGCTAGGAAAGTTGGTTCACTGTGTCGTTTTATAGAACTATTCTCGACAGAATATACCTTACATCTTTATAAATGCATTTGGTATTGCTTCCATATCTCGTCTGGTGCTTCTGTAATGTATCTAGAGATTCTTGATAAAATCTACAGAAGAATCTGCAATGTTATCTGTCCTGACCTGGCATTTCGGCTTCAGTCACATTCCCAACGCTTATAACGTAGTTTCCTTGTGCCATTTTATACAAACATTTTCATGGTAATTTCTCTTGTGAACCTTTCTCTAGGGTACCTTTACTTTACAAATTTAAACGCAGTACTTTAATTTTGAATCCTGTTCTTTTATTGTCCTCTCTCCGCTCCTATTTTTTCTCATATTCTTTCACTCTCAGTAACTCCTTGTGTTTTAGTTGGTTTATCATTTTACTTGGGGTGAATTGATTAAAAAAAAAATAACCACTCAAACAAGTTTTATTAAAATTGACTGACAAGGTTTTTCTGTTGAATTTTTATTGTATTTTTCCTGTCGCACATCCAGATCAAATTTATGAAAAAACTGTTTAAAGTGCACAATTTTTTTTCTCGACTTCTTTCGACAGTCTTTGGTTATTTTCAGGAATGTCTTCAGTGCCATAGAGACAATTTTATTAGCTTCATCCTGACATTTTAACGAACGCTGTAATTCTGATTTAAATGTCTATATCGGGTACGATTAACATAATGTATCGAACTGTTTATTACGTAAATGGTATACTGTTTGATTTGGTTTTAACTAGTCCTTTAGGGGTTATAATATTTAACAACCGACAACAAAGATATTAACTATTTAAACACAGTTTATATTGTCTTCTCTTGTGAAAAATATTGTGCTTAATTAATATGAGTTTTTTTGTCTTTTTGTATAACGATTGCTTCAATAATTCGAGTGTTTCTTTCAAATTATCTTCTATTATTTGTCTCATGCTAATAGTCATATTTTAGTTGTTTGTGACGTGTTGATCAATATGTGTATGAATTACAATAAATTCCGATAAGTGTCAACTACGAAAGAGTATTCTAGTGGTATGGTCAATGTAAGAATTGATATGATGTTGATGCTCTCTCTCAAAGAGCTGGGTAATTCATGTACAACATTGTTTTTACATGTTATTAGTAATGACAAGGTTAACTGTTTTACATTTTTTTATAATAAATGACAAACCATAGATGTTA